AACTTTTAAAATTCGAGAAAATGTAATGGCCTTGAGTTGCAGGCCATGGCCTTGAACTCAAGGCCTATTACATTTTCGCAATTTTAAAGTTTTTTACATAAACTAGGTCGCTAAGGCCAATAGCCTTGAGCTGCCAAGGTCAGGTGGCACGCAGCCAAGCATCGAAGCGCTACATCAACTCTATGTGCTGGACTTCTACTATCTGGTGCTCTTACTGAACTGTATTCTACTTCTACTTATTATGCGCTGCTTCTAGCTGGCTCTTATCTGTAACTGTGCTCTTTTACTTTCTACATAACTAGGCCAAGGCCATAGCCTTGAGCTCAAGGCCATATCCTTGAGCCATTTTCAAAATGTTTACATCACTCGATTAATGTCATGGTCATGGTCAAGTTGTATTTATATTTCGCCTAGCAACATCTCGAAAATATCTTACCGTAGTAATTGACAAGATTTGAACCCGGGATTCTTGAGTACCAGGCCAGCACGATACGCTAGCACCCAAACTCACCATTCCTTAGATGTTCAGAACGAATCTATGTGTTACATTTTACTCAACAAGTTTTACGAAAATATTTTACGAAGTTACCTTACAAGAATTGAACACGGGATAACCCGGTCCTATTCCAACATGTTACGCACACGCCTAAACTTGTTCAACCTGACAAGTTCAGATCTGATGTGTGTGTTACGTTTTAGTTTAACAGCAAGAAATGTTAGCAAAGAAGTCATTGCCGAGCAGAGATACGCGGGCCAGTTTCCGGGCCAGTTGGCCATACGCGGGCCAGTTGCGGAAATTTTCATTTATGAACGAGAGAGAAATACTTGTACAGTTCTTTTCGTGCAAACCATTTATGATTGATAGAACCGCGCTATATTTATTATTGTTTATATATACTAACAATAAAAATAATTTACAATACAGTCGTTCGATGCTAATTAATCGAAGCAATATCCCTTCAAACATGGATTCACACAGTAAAATGTGGTACTCGCCTCTGGTTTGCTTGTCCGCAAAAACGGATAGATATATGGCCAAATAAATGTTAAAGAAAAACCACATTACTGCTTTAGGGGTAGCTAGAACTAACCGCACTAGAAAAGAATATATTTGGAGCACGTGTATGCCGAAACTGGACATTTATAATTATACGAGTTATTTGTAATAATGAAACTGCGCCTATAGTTTTACAACCCCCTAACTAATATTAAGCCACAGTGACGAGTAATAAACAGTAGATCCAAACCGCAACTGCGGGTCATCTACATCGAACATTAGTACTAGTTTTTAAAACAATTTCAAAAGGGAACATTCAGCGCTAAAACAAAACGAGTTTAGGGGGCTTTTTTATCTTTCCCACAGGCAAATAACCACGCATTTTATTGAGTTCACTCCCTCCGTAACAACTAACAAAATAACTAGCAACAACAAAAACCATTAACGACACGAACACATGTAACTTAACGTAACGTGAAATGAACCCTGTGTTTTTCTCGCATCTTCACTCAGTATTTCTCTGCTATACTTACTAACATTGCTAAAGACATTTCCTGGCACAAGAAAACACATGAACATGTGGCTATGAATAGTTATTATGCACATTGATAATAAATTAACCAGGAACCTTTCACAGATTAGATATTGGCTGTCACGTATTCAGAGGTTTTCATGAAATCAAATTCTACCTCTGATCTCGCATACATAATCATTAATTATAGCAAATACCTTTTTAATCAAACATAGGGACATGCCCCGCCCATGTAATAATATATATATATATATATATATATATTATATATATGTACATAATATAGGTACACTACATAGAAGATATAACACATAAGAAACACAG